GGTCGAGTGTGCCAGGAATGAAAGAGCCGTCAGCCATATGTAGTGCCTCTCAGAAGACGTGGCCGTAAACTTCAGCGCTCTTTGCGGAGTCAATATGAGAATCGAACGGTTGAAAACTGCACCCTGGTTCTTCGGGGCGGGGTTGTCATCCTTCACATCAAGTACAGACTGAATCGTCACTGCTTCACGTTAGTCAAGGCTTGCGCTGATTCAAGTTAGAGTACTTACGTTTCCGACCAGTCTTACCCATGAGGGCACTGCCAGATGAGGGTTGCTTGCTGCTCCAGAGGATAGCTCTCTCATAGGGAGCCAGCCAGACCCATCGCTTGTGGCGGTCGTTGCTTGAGTCATCCTTGCTATTATCAGGCACGCCAAATGACTTGCGTCTCCTGACGTACTTGAACATCCATTCACCGACCATGGTCTGCGCAATGGCATCGACGACGCCCGTGGCTTGCGATGCGCCGTTGGATGCACCACCGACAGAGTTGACATCGGTGGTAGCCGTCTGTGCCGTTGTTGTCGACAGTCTGGACTTGTGGGACCGGTAGTTGGAGCCGGTATCGTACCGAGGGCTGGTGATGTCGTTGTAAGGAAGAGGAGGCAAGCTGGGGCTCTCCGGCGCTTCGGTCGTCTCCGAGAAGGGCGGCGGAGACCTACTTTGCTTCCGATTTCTCTGGTTACGAGGAAGGGCCGCAGCTGATCGCACCTTACGTATACTGTTGGCACGATGGATGCTGCCGGCACGGTAGTGATTACGGCCCATGCCTCGGCGATGCCACGGTGCGTCCATCTTGGTTGGGCTTCGTTGGCCATCGCTCGGAGCACTGGCACTGAATGGCGGTCGCCGAGAGCTAGCTCTGGTAGGGATGGGGAAAGGAGGGTCGGGAGCACGAGTTTCTGGAACGCTCGGGCTTCTAGGACGGCCTTGGTGGCTGGCAATCCCGCTCTGGATCATAGCAGCCTTCCGCATGACGTTCTTGCCCGAAGGTCCCGCGGTAGACTTCTCATATCCGCGGGTAGTGGGCTTGGCAGACTGCCTCTTGGGTGCTTCTCTGCTTTCCAAATTTCCTCCATAACTCTCGCTTGCGAGGCGCATGGAGTTCCTGCTATGAGCCGACCTCTTCGTTTGTTCTGGCGATGTAAAGGTACTGACAGATGTGCGGTTGGAGGCTCGCGAGTCCGTCATTCTCATGCCAGGGGCGGAAAGGGCGGTTCGGTACTCAGAGTCGCTCACATCAGCATCAAATTCGTCCACCTCATCGGAGCTCTGGGCATCTTGGAAGCCGGCGAACAGACTGCTGATACGGTGTGGTCGTCTCATAGGCGCACCGTCTCTCGAAAGTGGCCCGTCATCATTGTTACCAGGATAGGCGTCGCGGGTTTGCTCGCCAAAGACTGGCGAGACCGGTGGTGACGAAGGCATGTCAGATAGGCTGCGCTTTGTTGCGAGTCTTCGAGGATTTCGCGGTGGTAGATGTCCCGGCACCGGAGTAAAATGGCGAGGATCATCACTCGTCACGGCCGTAGCGATACCGACGCTGGGCGATGAGGGCCTGGACGTGATAGCTGAGGGCCGCAGATGGACAGGTAGTGTCGCCAGCCTCTTGTCAGAAAGGATTTCTTCGGTCTGAACAGCAGTGGATTTCGTGGGAGCTGAGGAAATGATGGATACTTGGCATCCAAAGTCTTTGACGTATTGTGGAAGCCGGTGTTCGCGTGGTGTAGTCGGACGACTCGTTGGCGGGATGATACTGATGGATGGGATGGTCAATTCTTGCACTGGCCGCAGAACGGGAGGTGTCTGAGGCCTCTCCGCCGGCTTGTCGGTCTGAGTCGAGGATGAAACCATCACCACGGGCGGACTTTCCGGAGGAGGCGGGGTGGAAGATCTGTAGGGGGACTTTGGCGTCTTCGGGGGGCTCAAAGGCTCCTCGACAGTCTGGGAACCAGCGGAGACCATGTGGTTGAAAGGACGCGGCTCGATCGACAGTGGCCGGTTAACGTGAACTCGCTTTCGTCTTTGATTGGCCTCAACTTCCCACTCGCCTCTTGGGGAGGCCTCGACTTCGGTGAGCTTTTCGATCTTGGCAGGCGGTTCCGGTGTGGAAGGCTTCACAGGCTCCATCTTCGGTGATGGAGGAGGTGAGAATTGAATTCCGGTGTCGGTGTAGCTGACCTTGGGAGCGGGCGGCGGCGGAGGCGGCATCAGATCCTCATCGTTCTCTTGAATCCCGTCTTCCAGGGCCTCCAGGACGGGCTGGTTCATCCAAAGTCTACCTCTAGTAACGCTTCCAGGACGCTGGGGGCTCTCCATGCTTTGTTGTCGTCGGTGAATCTTGGACAGAATGCTGTCGCGGCTGAATGTTCGTGTGTGGCGATAGTTGGACATGGCGCTCTCGCGTCCGCCGTCGTCAGTCTGCCAGTCGTCGTCGCCATCGAGGTTGAGTTCGTCCGCCAGTGAGTTTCCATTGAAGACCTTGCCGGGACTCTGCTGCATGGAAAATCGGACGCTATTAGTCAGGCTCATAGTCCTTACACTTCCCGCGTCGTTTTGATCCTCTGTCTCGCTGTCATTACCGTTGCCGTTAACTTGTGCAGCCTGGTAGGCGGCGACCTCGTCTATCACCACCTTCAAGCGGCTCTCGGCGACGTGGACTCTACGCTCATACTTGCGCTTCTCTTCCTCCCAAGAGTCCTTGTCCTGAGCCCAAAGGTCGTGAACCCTCTGAGAGTCTTCTTCCTGACTTCGGATCTTCTTCTGGGCGGATTCGAGTCTCTTTCTCGTTTCTGTGATGGAGTCGACGGCTTCATCCCTCTCGCGGGCGAGCTCGCCCAGTGCTGATGAGGTACCACCTTCTAGAAGGGCAAGTTGACGCTGAAGGGAGCGGCTTTGTTTTGTTGTGGTGGCTACTGTCTCTTGAAGTGTCTCCTGCTCCTGGCGGGAGGCGTGCAAGGATACTTCTAGGTTCTCGATAAGCTTCGCCTTTTCTTCCTGATCTCGCCTCAAGTTCAGGATCTCGGCTACGAGATTGGCGTGTAAGGTTGGAGTGAAACGACGTGGGTCGAGAACGCTGATGCCATCGTCGTTGGTCATATTTCTGGATGAACGTTTAGAGCCCTTGTCGTTCTGTGGGACGGGGGGAGGCGAAGGGCTCTTCTTCCCGTTCGGCGGGGTGACGGAGCGTCGGGATTTCCTCGAGCTTCGTGATGGTGTTCTGTAAGGTGTGTCCTGTGGTGTTGGCAACGCCGTCACGGCAGCGTTGCCTTTGGACTCATCCTCGGTCTCCCAAACAGCCATCTTGACTCACTGGAGACAAAGAAAGACTCGCAGTGAGGTGTCAAGGGCGCAACGGTTCTCAATTGAACCCCTCAAAAAAGAAGTGTAAGCATGCAGGTTATGGTCGGTTGGCTTACAGCGAGCAAATGTGCTTGGATCGCCAGCCGTTTCGGGGAAAATCAAATGTAGGGGATCAAAGCACACAGCTGAGCCCAGGGATCCTTGCTGCCGGTGGAAATGACAGGCGCCAGAGGAGCAGTCTGACCGCGCAATCACTGGTGCATTGACGCTATTCAACCCCCACTGGCTCTTGGTTAGTGTTCGATGCTACGGGAGAGGCACATTGGAGGAGCGCGAGGCCGAGGCCTACGGCAAGGAATATGCATGAAATGTTCTTGGTGAAACTTACGATGCGATGTTGCTGCTGTTGCTACTGCTGCTGCGTCGCGGGCGCAGCAAGGTGATGTCAAATAAGACAGAGGTGATATGCTATGGGCAACAGCCCAAACAAGCAAAAAGATGAAAAGAATCAGAGCGATAAAAAGGAGTGGTTCGCTCGAGTGGCCGTTTCTGGACAGCCCAGACACGAGTTAGCATGAAGTTATCCGGGGCCGAGGTGGTATAATTGGTGTATATGAGCCGGGGAGGGATGTTCGGGAACGGTTTTGGATGGGCTCCCACCTTAAGAACTGGGATATATAGGTAGTAAATCCAGGTATGAAACTGACTGGCTTTCGAAGCCAGGAATCAACGTCGCAAAGAGAAAAGGAGAGATTGAGTGAGGCGCGGCAGTCGCAAGAACAGATGACAAGCCCAAAGTCACAATGAGGTCAAGAGCCGTTCTAAGTCGACATGACGTTGTAAATTGACTTTGGTGAAAGGCCGAAATGGAATGCGACTCCGGATAGGATGAGCGGCAACCAAGGCGAAAGAGTTGAAAAAAGGAGCAGGAAGGATTGGCGTATGTACAAGGCTCGAGCAATGTACTAATGATATGATGTAAACAGGCGAGACGTTGGGAGAAGAAACGTCGGTCGGGCAGAGGCGCGGACGAGAAAGGCGTGAAGGCTTGTTTCGCGGTCCTGGTGGGGGAGATTTTGTGGTTAGCATCTTGTCCCGGACCTCCCTCCTTCTTTTCCTTCTAAGGCTGCTTCTCCCGCTGCGATCGGCCGCACCGACAAACGGACTGAGACATATGGGAGGCTTACCCGACGGGAGGTGTATTGGACGGTCGATAGTTTGTCGGGAGGTTTTGGAAACAAGTCGAGGGTAGAAAAGTAAAGGCGCACCGGTTGGTTCAGACAGAGTGACAGTGACAAAAGGAACAAGGCAAGTTTAAGGACGGTGGACGGGTGTAAGGATAAATGTACAACTGCCAACAGCTAAGTGGCAAGTCAAAATAGATGGGCGCGAGGATCGGTTGCGCAGGTGGTAGGACGTGTATCCCAACAAGACGGGGTGACTGAACAGAACGGCTGCTGCATCCGAGGCCAATGGGCGTGACGATGGCGGCACCTGAAGACCGGGCTGGAGGAGAAGGAGAGAAGAAAGCCGTGAGAAGACGAGGCGAGTCGAGAGAGACAAGACAAGGCAAGGCAAGGCAAGGCGCAAGGCAAAAAGAAACAGAGTGAAGAAGCCGGGTGCGAGGCGCCAGACTATTCTGTCAATTCGAGCACGGGACAGGCTGAGATGGGATGGAAATAAATGGGACGGGCAAGGGTTAGAAGCATGGGAAGAACAGCACTAAGGTAGGTAGGGTAGAAGCCGGGGGTGGGAGGTATCCGTTCACTACGGAGAGACGAGGAGGAGAAGCATCAAAGTGGGCATCGAGACCATCACAGTGGTAGTGCAGCGGATGCAGCAGCGGGAAGCCGCGAGGAACAGTCTGGATGGTCGATGGAGACAGAGAGAAAAGATGGTGGTCCATGACGGCTTGCCGTGTGTATTGCGTAGGATTCGACTTGGCGAATGCGACGAGACGAGCCATCAGAAGCTAATCATTGTCGTGCAGTAGACGGCCAACGTGCTAGATGCATGTGCAGGGCAGATGGATGAGTGTACACATACGTGTACGAATGCCGTGAGGTGAACTTGTGAAGTGTATTATTAGTGTGTTGCTGGGTGTGCTTGTTGTAAGCCACGGGCAGGAAGCTGCGGGATGCAGTGTTGTGATGGGATCATGATCATGAATTGAGGTGGGAAAGGCCGGGTCCCTGGTCAGTTGAATGAGATTAGCTAGATTGGGGTGGGATGGGATACGTATTGGTCAACGTCCTTGAGGGGATCCGTAGGTAGCGATCATGGCTATGATTGGGAAGCGAACCCAGTAATCAAATCAATCCAGATGGGAGGAGACGAAGCACCAGGGCCAGGCGACGCCGGATGACATGGGCGTAAATTAGCCAGGCACGCACGACGCGGCCAACGGGCCAGCCACGAGACTTCTGAGACCAAAAGTATCTGTACGATGTATCCGTAAGGTAAGTCAAGAGGTCCATTTCATCTTGCTCTATCCAAGTTCCGAGTTTTAGTTTTTGAAGAAAAGTCAGGAACACCAAGCCCACGAAACACGCGCGCAACATGTTGCTTTTGTTGTACTGCGTATGTAGGTAGTACCGGAGTACAGGAGTACATTGAAGTAATGCTCCGAGTCCTCTCTGCTGCGTATTGTCGCTTACGGACCGCGGTTGATGGCGCCGTTACATCTCTCGTCCAAAACAGATGGCACTTGCAGCCGCGTCTTTGATTATGGGCTTCAAATGAGATGATGAGTCGGAATCCGGCTTGTCCTCGCCCCGTTGCCCCCTCTCGGGTCTCCTCTCTGCGTTACTTGTTCTAATTGTTCAATCAACTTCAACGTCTTCCCCTCTCGGTTCATCCATGCGGCCGGACTTGGCTCTCGTCGAAAACACCACGAGAGTTCGATATTTTCTTTGAAGGCGATTCAGCAAGCCACCGGTCTCGAACCCAAAGAAAGGAGTTGGCAGAAGAAAGGAGATTGCAGCGAGAGAAAAACTCGCAACGGCGTTGGACGGCGCTAGCTGCCCACCACTTGCGTCTGCCCGCTACAGAAGACGGAGAATTCTCGAGGCAAGCACGCAAGGTACCGAACACTTCGCACTCGCTGCCTTTTTTTGCTCATGCACACGCGCTAGAGCAGTCGAGACTGAGTACTGTGTACCGGCCAGAGTCATGTAAAGACGATCATTGGGGATAAGAAGAAACCAGCCTGGAAAGGGTCCTCGACAAACATCATCGACACCGTCCATGATTGGGCCACTTCTGCCGATTGGGTCAACTGGTGGGAAGCCACGCTGTACTTGGAGAGATTTGCGCTCGCTGGGCAGCAATGAAGCAGTAGTCACATAGAGTACAAGGTCCGGACTACGGGAAGAGGAACCGGCGACCGTTTCTCGACACTTCCGACACGTGGGATGGTTGTTTATTGTCTTGCTTTCTTTTTCTTCTCATGTCGACCGAGAAAATCAGCACTTGATCATGCTCTGCCTTGTCTCATTTGCCAATTGCACGCTGCAAAGCGGAAAGAGGCAGATGAAGGAAAGATACGTACCGCCATCACCATCTCCCGTCGAGTAAGGTAGCTCTTATGTACGGCGTACTCTACTGTGCTAAGTTCAGCTCTCCACAATTTACAGTGAGAGACCAGGAACCCATCGCGAACTCGACGGAGGTTTCCACGATCCGCAACGTAAGCTAGGTAACAAAGTAGAGATACGTGAGTGATGAGAAACAAATCACCCGGATGAAACGACGCCAGAGGGGATGAACCTAGATTGCGAATCGGTGGTCGCGATCTCGAGGCAGGCAATCCCATCAGGCCTGGCCGGGATAGTTTTTTTGTTTTTTGGCGCTTCTCAATCTCAAAAGCTGCTCCATCGGCTGGAAGTTTGGAACTTGGGGCCCTGGCAAGTCTGGCGCTTTCCTGCGCTCCAACAGGAAGGATTCAAAGACATCCGGGAAGGCACAACCGGGGATTCCTTCACTTTCCTCAGTTGGGACCTACCGGAATACCCGCTAACGCCCTTTGGGGAGCCACGAGTGGGGACAGCTTTTGCAGTAAGCCATTTGGGCAGGAAAGAACGCTAGACATGGGAGCTCTTTCCAGGGCCCAGGGGTCACTCCCAGGAGAACTCTCAAGGTACGTACTCGCCAAGAGTCCTGAACTCTTGGTCTCCTCTCCCACCAACCCGTCTCTCCCAAGGCTCCTCTTCACCTTGAATCCTTCCCAGCTCCAAGCCTCCAACAACATCACCGTCGAATGGGAACCTTTCCAACATGAAGCCCGCAATTTCCTGCCTGCGCAGATCGCACTTCTCATCACCCGCCGTCACTCGCCGTTATCGTATCGTAGCTTCTCCTCTCGTCATCTCTTTTCCGGCTTGCGGCCTGTCCTCGTGTCAGACCTCTGTCCTCTCCCCCGGCCGTCACTGCCTCCGCAGCGCCTCTTGTTGATCCCGGCGCAATACTGGCTGGCGTCGTGCAAGTCTCGAGTAAACCAGCTCGAGGTCAGCCAAATTTCCTCTTCAGCCTCTCGAGACTTGTTACATCCCACTTGCACTCGACATGTGCAACCTTGCATAAGCTGAGAAACCTCTTCGACAACCGCTAACAGTCCCAGCTACAGCGACTCACAAATGTCTCGCCCTGCGCAATACCGTTTACGCCCTCGATTCGCCATAAAATAATGGCACGAGGCGGCCTCTCGTGTCAAAATGTCTCGAGGTCGCATCGTCTCCTTTCTTTTCTCGATACATTGACAATGTTGTCGTTCCCCGCTACCTCATTTACTCCCGGTCATTCGTCCCAATAATCACAACGTCAGGGGCCCTAGACTGAATCGCTTGACAGCAGGGCCCTCGGGCCTGTCAATCTCTGGCGGAGGCTGTAGCCCACAAAGATGTGCCGATTGTCAATCCTTCAAAAGGACTGTGCACAAGAGGCCCCTGCTTTGCTCAAAAGCAGCATCTTGAAAGTTGAACATCCATCACTGATCAAGGGCCCCCAATCAATAACCTTCGGCTCCCTCACCTCCTCGAACTGCCGGTTCCCGTAAGCCGTACCTTGCAGAGAGGTCAGAGCTTTCATTGTATCCGTATCGATGCCACGGCAAGATAAATCAAGCCAATCGATTCAATCGCTGTCTGAACTAAAGCACACTGGGTTCCTTTCGATTTGCTCCTCTTGACCCGAAGGCGCCGAGGCTTGGTTCAAGACCCAGTATCAGAACTACGGAGTACATCAACCTCGCACACCACAGACTACCGGTAACGTTTGCCACGTTCGTTCAACATGCCACGACTGTCACGGGCACGCCGATCAAGTAGGAAGGAGCTGCGGGCCTACAACGAGGCAATTTTTACACGAGGTCTATCGGACAGTCTACGCCATGACGAGAGAGGAATCGTTATGCGGCAGGCATTAGATGCAAGTCAAAGGCACAGTCACAGGCATGGAATCATGGCGGAGGCTGTTGGACGTTGAATCTAGGCCCGCATTACAATCTGTAGTCGCACTCGCACGTTGCAGGCTGTGCCGCTGGCCCGCTCTGCAGCCCAAGGCTTCGCAGTACCAGGAAAACGGCCTTGCTCGCTTTTACACTATCAATAACCATCAAGACGGGTGTCACCCCCTCACCCCGCGAGCAGAGACGTTCTCGACTTCGGTCATTGGGCTCTTTCGTGGTAGCTCCTCCGACTTAGCATAAGCCTCCCGATAGCACCGCGGAATACGGATGTCATTGCCTGTTCGCAAGACTGAAAAACCCCCTCCCATTCATTCTCGATGAGGTTGTCGGCCTTCATCTTCTAGCTTATCCGCTGCAGCTACAGAGTATTGATCATACATCTGCACATCCATTGGCGTCGACTTCTCGTCTTCGATTCCACAAGCGACACATTAAACCCCAAGAGTCAGTCGCAGAAATTTTGGCGCCATGCGCAGCTCCCGGACGTCCCAAAAGTGCGGAATGCGGCTCGATATCCGAATTCATTTCTGGGTCACTCACGACGTGCCTCACGGCTTTGATGACCCCCTTTCCCAACAAGGAGACCAAGACCGTGCAAACCAGATTGCATCCCCAGCCTATACAGCCCTGCAAGTACACCACTCGGCAGGCTTGTAAGCCTCCGGCGCCGACGCATCGGTTCGCGCCCCCTCCCAACAATCTCAGGTACGATCCCGCTCAAATTCTATACACTAAGCAGATTCGGAATCGGCGTCTATAACCTGTAGGGGCTCTTATCATGAAGGATATCCGGATAGCAAGGCTTTCCCCTCACGAACCGTCAAGGTCCCCGGTCTCCAGTTGATGGCCGCCTTCTCGTCAGCATCGGACCTTCGTCCGATCCCGCGATGTTCTGGTTCCGCCGCTGCCGTTCGCCAAGGAGACACCAATCCTCTGATCCTCATTGCACCAACAGACGAGCAGGGTTCCGAAAAAGCAATATCTTGTTCGATTCTACGAGAGGCCTGCGCTAATAGGTCAGTCGGCCAATCCGGTTGGCTTGGTGTCAGCTCGGATGTTTTGGAATGCCCTCCCGGGGCGCCCAACTCTCAAGTCCCAACTCAATTCAGGGCTCTGCTTCTCCAAAAACCAGGCACAGGGAACAAGCATTCTGCAAATGGCGCGAGCACCTCTAACGACAGCAAACATTGCGGAGAGTGGGGATGATCCTCTCAACTCCATGTGCGGCGTGTTCGTAGAGCAAACACGCAGCTTCAAGTTATCACGCATTCTCTTCATCCGGATGTCTTCCCCGGTCTCGCTGCTCGCTGCAATATACTGTACGTCGTGGCTTTCCATACCCATGGCCACAAACCAACACGCAGGATCTACGGCGCTGCCCGGTGGGACGAACGCGATGTCTCCTTGAGAAACGACGGTTCGTGACTTAATGACACCAAGCTTCTAAGGCTGCAACGAACCATTTGACTTTGAAGGTATTGGGCACAAAGCCACAAGACTCGCTACGAAATGGACCAAACTGCCGGTTGTTAGTCAACAAACCATGGCCGAAGAGCAATTTGTCTTGGTGCTAGTGTCCGGCCCGTCTCCTAGCCACTGCCACCATCGATCTTTTTGCAACGACTAAACGCCACCCGCACTCCTGATATTTGGGAGAAAATGGCATAGGCTTTTGAACAGGACACCGACCATTTCCGCAGCCTCATCAGCCGGGAGGACGTGAGATAGCATACCGTCAACGACGCCACGTTGAACTCTCTTTGCCGTCGGGTTAAGCCATACCAACTTCAGTAACGTCTGGCCCCCGTTCTCAAAGTAAAGCGGAGCATATGCAGCTCTATCACAGCCGTTTGTGACAAGCCCCAGCGAACGCACAATTGCTTAACGTGAGCATTTCTCAATGCAGCTGCAGGGGATTTAATCTTCCGCACACGAATGACATGCGTCTCTATGCAACAGCAGACCAGGTCTTTTGTAGAGCGCAAAATCATGAGGAGAGAAAACAGGATCGGTATAATTGCAAGGTTGTACTTCAGGCGACCGTCGAACACGGCGCAAAACTCAATTCAGAGTTCCAGACTCACAAGTTGGCAAAATCTAGATCCCCCACAAATGCGAGTCGAGAATTCACTGCCGCCACGAAAAAGAAGATCCGCCGTTTATTCACATAGGCTTGGGAAACGCTAGGAGGCACAAGAGGTCGCGTCAGCGAAACATATTCGCTCTCGCCCCATCACTGTACACAGCAGTATCATCTTGCACCCGCGTCATACGAGGCAGTCAAAAACTTTGCGCAAAAGATGGAGAGTTCATTTCCCGTAGCTTCCCAAAGCAGCCTCATCTCTTGGCCCACCATGTTCGTCCCCATCAGTGATCCATCTCATTTTCTTCTGCCAAAACATCATTTGGCCGGGAATTTCTGACATTGATTCTACTATTTGGGACGACTCTGCCACGTGGGCAACGCAATTCGCAACACATCGTCTTTTGGTTATCCGTCCGGGCTAACTATTAGTGCTAGATATTTAGCTCACTCAAACCAAAAGCATGGGGATCCGAACGCCGCGTGCATCTGCGGGATGGCAGACGTGTTCTGCCACAACCAAGATTTCCCCTTGGTCTTTTATCTGAGCACTCACGAACGCCGTCAGTGCGCGCGTTTGGCAACTCATTCCGTCACTGGCCCTGGTCCTGGGGGACCCCGCCTGGCGGCAAATATCCGGGGCCGGCGAGGTCGGCGTGTTGCACTGCAATATTGCGACGGTGTGCCAAACAACATACCTCGACGGGCTCCATCATCGGCGAGGCACACCGAGATGAATGAAGGTGTGGTGTCTTGACCATATGAGATGCACTACAAGTGCGGGTGCCCAATCCTCAGTGTCGTTGAACCACTTGATGACTAGGGCGTCCTTCGAAACATCAGCGAATATCGGTTGGCTGTAAGCGAGCGAGGACGAGGGTGGAACAGCATACAAGATGACGAACCATGGCCAGCACTTGGAGTCTACTGTTTAGGTGAGCTAATCACGGCAATGGGACGCCAAAACAGCAGCGGGAGTCCTCCAAGAGCCTGATTTTCGAAGGACGGGGCGGTGATACACGAATTTCCGAAGACCATGGATTAAATATGGTCACCGGGATGCAAAATCTTGCGCCGGTGCTTGATGCTCAAGAAAAGCGTTCGGTCTCAGGCTCTATCCGTCCTACTGACTCAAACACGGCTGCGCGGTCAGAGGGGTTGAGTCCGCGTTCCGCGTTGCCACGTGAAGGACGAGCCGAGGTCTCGGCGGTTATTTGTTCTCGTCCATCTCCATCCAACACGATAATGGCACAAAGCAAGAAGTTGCAGTTCCGTACATGAGCTTAATAAAGAAGACCGCGAAGATGAATTACATGCCTGCCAAGCTGGCTTGGTCTCAGACTGATGCTCTGGCTTACACGCCACGAGACTGACTCGAAGACGCGGCCTGGACGTTACCCTCGGGTGAATGAAGACTGTGTAGTTTGACCATGGCGAGATCTTTGCTACTTCCCTGGCTAATCTAACATCAGGATATCCAGTGAAGGCGCGTGGATTCCTCGCAAACCAAGTTAGGCACATATTGGGCGTCTCGGTCATCAGTTGTCGAACGTGAACTTCGTCTAGATCCGTCGAGTCGGAGTTCACAAGGATACCGCCCGTATCAGCCGCCATCTCTCACTGTCGCTCAGTCGCTGGGTGTAACACAATCTCCTTACTTACTCGTGTTCCCCCTTTTTCTTTGCGCTCTGCATGGTCTCTGAGTACCAGGTATCCGTATTCGAGGAGACGAAAACGACTTCACAACAGACCCAGGTCAACAAGGCGCACAGCCGAGGACCAGGCTCTTGGAGATGAGGCTGTCGTTTAACACACACCCGCTCCCATGTTTCCCATCCCGGAAGGAACTGAGCCACGCTCTCCACTTGTTTCGGACGTCATCGCGGGTATGAAACGAGGCCTTCGAAAGAAACGAAGTGGAGGAGATGCAAGCCGTTATGTTTCGTCTAACATGATGAACAGGGGATAGGGCGTTTGGGTAGGCAGGGTTTTGAGCGAACCCGAGATTGGGGCTGCCGGGATAATTGAGATTGTTCCCGGTCCGCCCGCGGTTGAACTTTGTGGATGTTTTTGAATTCAGGATGTTCATGCGGTTCTTCAAAGGCGTCATGTTGGTGGTGATGGCTTCTTCCCCGAGGAGGTTGTGTTTTCTTCTTGGCGTGCAGAGTGAGATATCCGGAATTGAGTGCGGCTTCGTCGTCGAGCTGTTTTGCTTCCGACTGCTCCGTGTCTAGCAGAGAGCATGGCTGTGAGGTTGATAGAGATCGTGTCGCTTCTTTTCATGGTTACTTCTACTCTTGTGCTTGTTTGTCGCGGAGGCTCAGCGACCATGTATGTTCGAAATAGATGCGTGGCGGGCGGGCTCTTGATAGATGTTAAGTGAGACGCACTTCACGGAGCCGCATTGCATCAACATGGTACGCCGTTCCATTCTTGAGAGAATTACAGACATATCTTAGCTCATGTTATTTCGCTCCTTATATCTAAAGCTCGTAGTGTTGTTCATGAGAGCTGGATTTAGACCATGTTTGATATTCCTGATGAGGTCATTTCCGCGTCCGGTTTTGATCACTGTTGATGATCAAAAAAGGGTAGACTTCTAATCCCTTGAGTGCATCTCAGATTACTCAACAGATGGTATGAGGGTATCACAAAGTTCCTTAGGCACATGTTTCTCACGTTTGTCTGGCGTTCCACGCCGTCCGGGCTGCCCGAGCGGGACGTTGTCTTACCGCGGCCCCTCCCGGGTCCGAGAGAACAGGCGGGGTTCGGGATGGATCAGTCAGCAATCCGACCCCGCCTCCAACATTGATAGGTGATGACTTCCCCCTCTACGCCCTGTATATTACAACAATTTCCTTTCCCAGGATTTGCTCGGATTCCTATACTACAAGCTTGGTCATTTGAAGCATTTTCCCAGGGTTTCCAGCCAGAGACTCTATCAAAGTGAAGAGAACAGTGAAATCGAAAACATCACAGTTCCCAATAGCTAGCTCGACAAAAAGGAAACATGTCCGGCATTGCAGGCGACCTCCCCAATATCAAGGCAGAGAACCTCCGCGACCTCAAGGCGCTGACCTTTGACGTCTTTGGCACAGTCGTGGATTGGCGGTCCTCGGTGGTGGACGAACTCACCTCCCGCGCAAAAGCCAAGCTGGCCTCTTCCTCTTCCACATCCACATCCACCAACGATGACAAGGACACAAAAGAAAAGCTAGAAAAGCTCGCAACAACAAACTGGCCGACCTTTGCCCAAGAATGGCGAACCTCCTACATGCGCTTCGTGCGCGGCCATGTCCCCGGACAAACCCCCTGGAAAGACATTGACGCGCACCACCACGACAGCCTCGTCGAGCTTTTAGGGACGTGGGGGTTAGGGGGCGTGTACTGCCCCGAAGAAATCCGCGAGCTGAGCCTCGTGTGGCACCGTCTCCGGCCGTGGGCGGATTCCGTGGAAGGGCTGCGCAGGTTGGGCGGGAAATACGTCACCTCGACGCTGAGCAACGGCAACAGGACGCTGTTGGGCGATCTGGATGCGTTTGGCGGGCTCGGGTTCCGGAAGATTTTGTCGGCGGAGGATTTCAGGGCGTATAAGCCTCATGCGGCGGTTTATGATGGCGCGGTGGAGGCTTTGGTCGGCGGCGGTGGTGGTGGCGGGAAGGCGAGGGAGGTTGCGATGGTGGCGGCGCATTTGGGGGATTTGATGGCTGCTCGGGGACGGGGGATGAGGACTGTTTATGTTGAGAGGCCGGAGGAGGAGGATTGGGAGGTTGGGAGCGAGAGGTACGAGGATGCCAAGGGGTGGGTTGATATTTGGGTTAAGGAGGGGGAGGGCGGGTTTGAGGAGGTTGCGAGGCTGTTGGGTGTTTGAGAGATGATGGTGGTATTTAGTCCCTATTGTGGAGCGTGATTGAGGCGCATTGTTTGTTTTGATGCTGCGTGTTCTGATTATGCTTCTCCCTTGTATATCATGCGTCACGAGGGAATGACAAGGAGGGTGGTCTATAGTCCAATGCATCTCGGAAATTCTCAACAGCAGCAAGAAAGGGAAAGTTGCCCAGAAGCCAAAGACATTAATGACCAAAGCCTGAGAGCGGATTTACCGGGCTGTAACTTGTGGGTT